TGTTCAAGTGGATTTTGCAACTCAAAAAAAAAACCACGCAAATCTAAAACTTCTTGAATTCAAGCATTTTTTGAGAAAACTGCCAACATTTCCTTATTGATGGTTCACTTTCTAAAAAGGCCATTTATTTCTCTCTAGAATGATGTAAAAACGAGCGTTCTTGTGTTCGGAATTAGTGTGTATGCATCACAAAATATACTTTTTAATCTGTTTCTTATACCAGTTTAGTCATGTTGGCATTTGTTAAAGAGCATGATCTCAAGCATTCCAAGCAGTAAAGGATGGAAGTTTTACATGAATCGCTGTATTAATTATGTGCTTCTGGAGATGCCAAGAGAACATGTAGATTGATAGAACTGACCAAGAAAAAATCTTCTATGTGAAGGTAGATTGTTTCTTTGTTAATCTTCAATTAACTGTGTCGCCAGCATGTCGGAATTTACTGGAATTTTATGTCGTTGGTTCGATTCCTCCGTTGTTAAACTACCTCTACCAATAAAGTGCGTTATTTTAAGCTGAATTTGTCATATTTTAAAATAAAGATTTAAATATTTTAAATACAAATATGTATAGGGCGTCAAAGTTTTGTATTTTTCACACAATAATACTTCTGGTTTCTCTAGCTTTTGGCATATTTAATGTTTGCAAATTTTGACAAAACCTGAAGTACAGGGTGATATTTATTTTTCCGATAGTTACGCTCCCTTTTGCCCGTCGGAATTTATTTGCCAATATTTGAATTTTTCGTTTAATTTAGAGTCGTGTTTTCAGTCCTGGTCTTAGAGCTACATTCCTCATTTTTTAGCTTTAAAATCGGCAACTGACAATTTTCGCTAACGCAGGCGTTTTTATGAAGACTAACTTGAGGAATTTAAGAAAATTCATAATGAAAAACCTTAAAACAACTTAAGAAGTTATACTGTATTTTATGAGTTAAGTAAACTTGAAACAATTGAAATATGAATCCATTCTTTACATCAGAGGCATCTTTCGCTTCTGAATTGACCTGCTAAACAGTGAGTAAAAGAGCATGAACAAAATGTTGCTGTTGGACTTGGGAGAGTTTGGTTAAACATCTAATGTGCCAACTGCTCTGCTGTTTTGCTGCCTCCTCAACTCCTCCAGCCACTGTGGAATTTTTCAATAAAAAAAACAACCAATCTTGAATCAGGGTAATTGTCTTATCTACGCATAATGGCCGGTTGAGTTAGCGTTTTCTCTGACGGATGGCCTTTGGCACTGAAGTGGTACCACACATATCACGGACAAAGAAATAAAAGCGTTTCCTCTTAGGGCGTTATTCAGCACCATCGACTTGGTGCTAAATCAACGCCATGTAATTTAGCCTTCGAATTCTTTGTGCGTTTCTCAGAGATTATTTCGCCGCCACTTTTCATGCTTTACGTTTGTCGGTAGACGCGCGTCGAATAATTCCCGACATCAAAGTCACTTTGTGAACGGATTCTCGCACCTTTTGACAGAGATTATCGCGATCAAATCTTTCAAGCTTCTGGTCCCACTGTCAGCAGCCGACCCCTTCGCAAGAAGAGCGTAATTTCGTTTTTGAATCAAAATTTCTCCGATAAAACAGCAATTTTTGCTCCTGGCAGAAAGCAGTGAAAAGCACATACTTTCATGAGCTTAGAAACGTTCTGCCTGAAGAACCCATTGCAAATTCAGCAGAATAGAAATGGGAACTGGATTTTTTGGTTGGATGGCGATGGGAGAAATTGAGCAGATTTTTGAAGATGTAAAAGCGAAATGAAAACGTTGCTTTAAATTTTCCCTTGAAAAGAATTTCATTTCAGTAAACACCGGCAGTAAATTATTGTTCTTTCACGACGCACATCTATGCGCCATTTAAATTCATTTTTGCACTCTGTCCAGCTGGAAGCTGCGTAATTCATCGGCATGCTGGAGGGGTTTCTCTTTGAGAAACGGTGAAGAAAAGCCATTTTGTTTTGTTTTTTTTACTCGCTTTGTCCATAAAATTTGTGAATTTTTCCGTGGCATTAAAGCATATTTTGATTTGATTTGATATGTATAAATAATCTTTATTTCCTACAGAAAAAGGCTATCGCCCCAATCGGTCTATCTGCCCATTTGGTTTGATTTGATTGGAATTGCATATTTTGGTTGGATGACGATGGGAGAAATTGGGCAGATTTTTGAAGATGTAAAAGCGACATGAAAACGATGCTTTAAATTTTCCCTTGAAAAGAATTTCATTTCAGTAAACACCGGCAGTAAATTATTGTTCTTTCACGACGCACATCTATGCGTCATTTAAATTCATTTTTGCACTCACTAGTGAAAATGGGCAAAAATTAAAAGAGCAAAAAACTGTCTTCTCTATGGGAGTTTTGAATTGATTTGTGCAGAAACCGTCCAGCTGGAAGCCGCGTAATTCATCGGCATGCTGGAGGGGTTTCTCTTTGAGAAACGGTGAAGAAAAGCCAGATAAATTGCCCCGATAAACTCTGGTAACCCGATCCTCGAGTCCGTATCGCTTTCATAAACGGAATCTTCTCAACACATAGTGTGTAATATAATTTTAGTGTTCAACATGGGCAGTTGTCAGTAGCAGAACGATGCAAGATAAAGTCCTTGGGTAAATCGTCTAGACAAATTTTGTACTATAATTATCAGCGATCGTTTGAAGAAAAAAACCACATTGTTAATTGGCTCTGGGTATTATTAAATCGAGGTCCGAAGTGTCGGAAATTGATATATTAGCATATTATACTGTCGTTGGGAAAAGAGTTCGCTTAATTAATTTCGATATTAGATTAATCTTGAGGATGTGGAAACTGGAGATTCTGTACTACCTTGAACGGCGTCAGTCTGACCACGCCAAATTGCATCGATCTACCGAACTGGTTTACTTGTATTTTAACACCAGACATCAATAGATCGGATCGAATTCTCCAAATAACTTGTCAACAGTTGAGCAGCACAATTAGTGCATGTTTAACAATTAAACGGCTTAAACATTCATGTTAGAGTTACCTGTGTTTGCAATAGAAGCATGCTGGGTTGGGGGCTACCGGGGCCGTGTGGTTGTGCAGCCGCAAGTAGCGGAGCACCTGAAACTTCGCCCTGGACTAGCACTGAGCCTATAATAAAAAAACATTTTGAGTTAAAAACAGAAATTACCGAATGTGATAAAATTCGTGCATTCTATGCCATTCTAAGCCCATTTCATTGGGAACACCCTGGATACATGCAACTAATTGACCTATTTTTCTTGTAACAAAATGCAATATTTAGCTGAGGACTCCTTTTTGGAATTAAATGTTACCAGTAGAATTGAGCAGAAACAAAGACCGCCATCCTCAAGACCGAAATCATTTCTTCATTGTTAACTAATTTTACCTTTCGTCGGTCGATTTGAAAGCCGCACATTATGAGACCACACAAAGGAGGCAATTAAGCCGCATTAAATATATCATTCCGACTTGGACTCTCGTTAAAATTATCTGGTAACAATGCACAACGGTTTTCCTCTTGTTGCCTTGACTAATTACCCCTATCAATATCAGGAAAAATAAACGTGTTGCTTAGAACTGCTGATTGAAAAATTGATGGAAGTTACCCCATTGATCGATCGATTGATTGATTGATGTAGAAAATGGCGAATAAATTATCTTTTTCCTGTCAGCTCAAGACCGTCTTTTCTCGGATGCTAAACCGTAGAAAATATAAGCAATTAACAGTGCAGTGAAAATAAGCTTTTTTTCTGGAAAAGAAACCGTGCAAGAAAACCTGTAAAGCTGATTCAGCCGAGAAAACTTGTTTAAATGCTAGTAATACATGAATTCAGATGGAAAAGATTAATTTTTCAGCAAAACCAATAAAACAATAGCAGGTTTTACTTGAATTTAGCTGGACGATGTAAGCAAATCGAAGATCGATTGTAATGAAACATGCATGGGAAGCGAAAGCTACAACCAGTTTTCAGCTAAGTTTGTGGAGAATTTAAGGCAAAAATGTATTTGTTGTTTCGTTCGTTGAATTTATTGATGATTTTGACTATTTGCAAATGGTGTTCTTGTTTCGTTTATCTGACTGTTTATGTGGTTGTTAAGCTATTAATTAGTTTGCAAACAACATTATTTGCTTAAGCCAGAATTGCGTTGGGTGCATTTCGAAGTCTCAGTGAACGCAGTTACACTTCCTGATGTTTGCTTTTTCTTTATAAACGAATTTCGACTGCGATAACGTACAATAAGATTTTTGAATAATTTAATCGAAGACCAGATTTTCCTGATAGCAAATGGGCAAAAATTGAATCCGAATGAATGCATACAGCGACAAAACAAGCAATAAAGCAGCTACACAATATCACTTGAAAATCGACCTAAGTTATCGGTACTAACTGCTCTGTTTCACTTGTGTCATTTTTCACAAAAATCACAAAATGCCCTCTACAAAGCGGCTATAAGCACATTGTACCTCTCAGCCACACGGAGGCGATCCTGTAGGAAACATTCCAAAGGAAACGGGAAAAACAGTGCACTGTTCGACTATCGCGTTTTTAATAATACGTGATTGAAATTTACTCGTCGGTTTTATAGTGCCTTTGCACAGGGGCGACTCGTACCTAAAATCAAGCGAATTTCCTTAAGTTTTCCAGGGTGTCACTCGCATTGATGAGGGTGAACCGAAGTTGAACCGAGGAATAAATTGTTTATTGAAGAAGGCAAATGTTGCAGATGTAAGTACAGATACTGAGATCTGCAGGTGCAGTTCGAGCCTTCATCAAACAAGACTCCTAAATCGGGTACTTTATTTTTTAGCACCGATTGAGCTTGATATATTGAGATTGACATCCTAGCTAGTAGGCCCGGAACCGGTTCTTGGGGGGCCTCATGTTAACACTTACCGTACTTAAATCGGTTTGTTGATTGGTTGATCAAACTCCAGCTTTTCGGTTAATTGACTAAAAAAAATCGGGTAGCTTTCGTCCGCCACTGGCCGAAGGGTGGTGAAAACTAGCTTCATCCCCACGCCCTACCAGGGACGTCCCAAGAGATCAAAATCGGTGATATTTGCAGCCCTCGAGCAATTGGGCCGTGCTTATGGGCCGTGTCGAGCCCTATACCGCTTGATTATGTGGCCCTTCTTATTATTATGGAATATTATGATTGTTTGGCGAGAGGCGTGAAAAGGGGCTGCGATTTTATTCATCGGGACTTGATTAATTAAATCAGAGCTCGTTCGCTTGATGCGATGGGGGTTTGACTAAGGAAAAACGGGCTGTGCGATACGAGGTTTTTAAGAAGCAAAATTTGCATTTTTTTTGCGAGCAAACCCAAAAATCACCTAAGATATTCCGGTTGACTTTTTGAAGGCAAAGTGAGCATGTCTTTGAACAGACAAATGGAAAAATTGACCCAATTTTGTATTTGCAAATGTGATTTATTCAGCTTGACTTGAGGAAGTCAGTAGGAATTTCTTGCGCGATTTCAGATTTTCAATTAGGAAGCCACAAAATATTATCAAACACAACCCAAAATTTCAATATAAGGAGAGCAACTAATTCATCACCAGGTTGTTCAAATTGGATCCGAAAAATGAAAAATCCTTGGAGGAACAACTATACTATTTCATAAATAAATGTGCAGACAATTATTTCCAATTGCATAACAAAAACAAGTCGAAAGCTTAACAAGTGTTGTAAAACACACTGTTTTTGAAAACAGTGTGTTTTAATAACTATTTTCGTTATAACTCCACAAAACGCTGTTATTCACTTATCGTTAACCGACAATTTTCGAAATAAATCAGTATTGACACAACCTGTTGGAAACCGGCCATACAAATAAATCATTTGGAAAACTAGACGTTTCAAGCAAGCTTACACTTTATTCCCGCATAATATAAATCAAATGATTGTTTATTTCTTACAATAATTGAGTTATTTTAATATGCCCAGTTTATACTGGCCTATAAATAATGCCTTATTTATTGTCATCGAATGTAAAGTGGCCTTATATATCCGGCGGTTTAATGTGAAATCCGTAGAGCCTCCGAGTGGAAGAAGGTGCATTTATCCACTCCAAAGCATCGATACTGGCGGTTGATTCTCATGGATATTGCAGCAGATAATAAATAACGCAAATAATGGTGAAACAAACCTCCGAACCCATGCTGAAATTGATACGATAAATAATGGTTTCAGCCTAAATATCTCGAAAAAATTCGCACTGGTAAACGGCTTTATTATTACTTCGTTTAGGCCGCTGTTCGGTTGTAGGAAAAATTCGGTGTAATTATAAGGCACCGACCGCTATTTGCGTTAAGCCTTAACATTTAGATTTGCCGAGAGTCTATACCGAATAAGAATGCAGAAAATTCGCACTCAATCACCAAAAAAAAAATGTTTGCCCATAAAATTTTTCAAATTTCTCCAAAACGCCTACACTCAAACCCAACACTCCAAATCCTTCACAGATAATCCAGTTTGTCTCATTTCCAATGCCTTTTAAAACCGCAATAAACATTTACATGCCTCACAGCCTCTAGCATTAATAATAATCCGATTTTGTTCGCTAGTCAACTAAACTTAGTGCAATTATGTTATTACTTTTAACTGTGCAACTAATAAATAATTATTGACCGTTTCCGCCTAGTCATTTAATGGTACATTGGACGCTGCAAAGGATCAAGTTTGTCTTCGCAGGAAGCACAAAGAGGAATATCGAGCAAGGCAAATATGAATATTGTAAGTGGAAGTGAAAGGGCCGAACTGCAGATAAAATATTCATGTCTTCAAGCAGTGAAAAGAGCTGATTAGAATCAAATTGCAAAGTGTTAATGAAGATGAAAGTTTAAACTGTATTCAACCAATGGAAAATTGAGGTAGACAAGGTGAAGCAGAGGAAACTTTCAGAAACAAGGAAGATCCCTTGCAGGTCTGGGAGGTTTCATATTTCATTTCATTCAGGTCTTTTTTGCTGCTGTTAAAAATGTAGCAATGTTGAACCAAATTTTCACATTTTCACAAATTTCGGATAATTTTTTTAGCGGAAAACAGCCTTTAATATACTACACATCAAAAGTAACTAGGGCTATAAACATCGTCGATCGACTTTTTTCATTTTTGCTTCTAGTTCTTTAGAGGTTAGGATTTTCTGATAAAACCTAATTTGTGAAATACACGCCTCAAGACGGGCTATCATCGAAAAGGTCGTAAAAACTGAGTGGATATTGCGAACACTTTTGGAAATAAAGTGTTTTTAAACTTCTAGGGCCTTAAATGATAAAATAAAATGTGGATATTTTTGCTTCTAATTTTTTAGCGGTTAGGAGTTTCAAGAAAACTTTGATAGTCAAATATAGCTTTTGAGATGCCCTCAGCCCTGTGAACAGTTGAACAACTATTTTCCACCGTTTCTGAGATTAACGCTTTCAAACACAGACGATCGCTTGAAATTTAAAATTTTTCCTTCTAGCCTATTAGAGGTTAGAAATTTTACATAAAACTTTTTAATACAATACAGTTGTTGACAAGCTTGACATAAATGGTAAAAACGGCTTTACAGACATTTTTCACCGTTTCTGAGATAAACGCTTTTAAACATCGACGATCGCTTGAAATTTCGAATTTTTGCTTCTAGCGCTTCAGAGGTTTTCTGATGAAACCTAATCAGTGAAATATGGACCTCAAAACTCTTCAAAGGTCAGTTATTTATAATCAAACCCAATGGACAAAATACAGACATTGAGACACTTGAGTCTTAAAACCCTTCGAGCCGGGCAATTTTTCTCATTATTTGCACTTAGATCTCTGTGAAGAATATTTTGCTTAAAGATAGCTGTTTAGGCGCTAAAGCCGAAAATGTTTGGCGACAAAAACTGATTTCAGTTCATTCATTCTTTTACAGTTTAGAGCATTTTTTAAAGCACCAACTCTGACTGGAATATTGTCGACTTTCGAACTCGGTCTACAGATTTAAACCTCGTTAGGGATTTCCGTGCAAAATTTCGTCCTTTGCCTCGGATATCTTCAAATCAATAATCTCCAAACAAGAACGCTCAACAATCGATCCTAAAGATTCTCTGGGGAAGAAGTATCCATCCTTTAACTTTTAAGCACGTTTGTCTGATTAAT